AGGAATCTGCACCCGGGATGTGTGTCCCAGCGTTAGGCTGTAACACAGTCATTCCATAGCTGCTTCCTGTCTGGCTTAGGGACGAGAGCCCTTCACTCAGAGACAAAGGACCTGGATGCAAAACTGGGGGCAGCCACCTGGTCACCAGGAGTCACTGAATCTCCCGATAGCCTTGCCTTGCAGTGGGGTTTGTGGGAGACAGACATGAAATGATGGTGTTAAGAGCACCTAGCATGCAGAGGGTGTGCAAAACTCGAATCAGTGGCATTTCCATCCCTAACTGGCCCCAAAGACCTTCATAGATGATGTCCTCCTTTTGTGTCTCCTGGCCCCATTGAGCCCAGGGCTGGTGCCGTTGAATCAGCTTAACAAATGTCCATTAAATCTGTCATAAAATATCACCATCCAGACCTGCTGACATCAATCACAGTTGCATCAAAATCCTCTCGTGGCTGCCACCTTTCTATCTGGGAAGAGCCCATCCTGCAAGGCTGGGGGTCTATCCTCAGAGTGGAATTTGTGAACCTTAAAAGGAATGATTTCAATTTTCCATGAAAGCTATTCTTGATATCCTACCTTTTCTCCATTTCTGATCTATTCTTGACTTTAGTAATAACCCTAGAAAGAGTCCCCAAGGAAGAGTACAACAAAGATGCTTTCATCTTCATGCACAGGACACGTTTCCACCCACGGAAAACATTTTGACCCCCTTGAAAGGAACAGTAGTTTTGCTATATTTTAGTCAAACGCTTTGACATGAACAATGAAATTTAGAGAAACTGTAGAGTCACATTAAAATTCTGAAGTACTTGTTTCAAGGGTTCAAGTATAAAATAAAGGAAAATATCTTCACTTCCTAATAGACCGTTCAGGTTATTGGCTTAAAAATGGAAAGACCAGGAAAGCAATGACTGAATTTTGCTGTATGATATAAATAGCCTATTCTGCATGGGGATTCAGTTAGAATGTTGTGACCTTGAGCAAATCACTAGGGCTTTTCATGCCTCAGTTTTCTCATCAGTGAAGTAGAAAAAAAAAATGTGTCTTTTACCTATACAGCGTGGCTGTGACATGCAGAATGAGATCATAGGCACGAAAATGGTTTAAAAATATAAAGAATTACGCATGGGAGTGGCTGGTGGTGCATCTCAGGGTCTGCTCCTCTGGGTTCCCACCCTCAGCCTTTCCTTTTGCTCCCACAGCATCTTCTGGCTGCCTGTCCCCTCCCCCTCCTTCATCACTTTGCCCTCCCTCCTCTAAGTCTACCTGGTCCCCATTCTGTCTTTCTTCCTCTCTCTCCTTTGTTTCCTCTCACTCCTGCTAGAGGGCATCTTGCTTTTCCTGGAAATACTAACCCCTTGTGGCTGCCAGAAACAAGATGGGGACAGAGAGGAGGGGCTGTAACTGGAGCATCAGATACTACATCTCCCTCCATAAAATTACCCCAGAATAGGGCTTCCCTGGTGGCGCAGTGGATGAGAGTCCGCCTGCCGATGCAGGGGACATGGGTTCGTGCCCAGGTCCGGGAGGATCCCACATGCCGCAGAGCGGTTGGGCCCGTGAGCCACGGCCGCTGAGCCTGCACGTCCGGAGCCTGTGCTCCGCAGCGGGAGAGGCCACAACAGTGAGAGGCCCGCGTACTGCAAAAAAAAAAAAAAAAAAAAAAAAAAAAAATTACCCCAGAATCGATGGGGAACTCTGATTCGCGTGTCTGTTGGGTGGAGAGAATATCCAGGGGAGTCCTGTGCTCAGCCCAATGGAAAAGAAACCCAGCAGGAGTCAGGGACACTTCTGCCTTCCCCCTTTTCCTTTTCTTTTTCCTTTTTCCATACTGACTTCTGAGATATGCATCTGTCCACTAAACCACATCACTCACAAGACAGCACAGACTGATCCCCATGGGGAATACAAAACCCCCCAAATTCCATTCTCCACAGACTTGCTGATTCATGCAGATTTAGAAAATACCTTAAAATCCACTCAGCCACCTTCCTAATTTTCCTAATCTTGAAATTAAAGGCATAGCCCAGACCACTGGCCTCAGTAGAGCGCTTACATGACATTCGGTGTCCCTGCCCTGGCCAGAGAATGTTTGATCCATGAAACATTAGAAGTACAAAAAAGTTTTCAACTCTCCAGAATGTGAAAGAAATTCAATTATCTGCATAGTACAATGTTAGCACTTCAAGTATTTGAAATTGTACTTTTTTAACTTTTTCATGGAAGTCTTTCTAAGACACCGTTGGAATCTAAGCAGAGGGGCAGGACAGACTATACGGGTAGAAGGGATGCCCGGGTACCAAGAGTCACTTAGAATCAGGCTTTCCTTAAGAAGAAAACACAAGTCTCCACCACCAGCTTGCTTTTTGTTCCTAGGTGTCGGGCAGTAAGTCAGAACACCCTTCCTGAGTGCTGTGGTCTGAATGTTTGTGTCCCCCCAAAATTCATACCTTGAAATCCCAACCCCGCAAGGTGATGATATTCGGAGGTGAGACATTTGGAGGTGATTTATGGAATGAGGGCCCTTTTGAAAGAGGCTGGAGAAAGCTTATTCTCCCAGAACTGTGAGAAATGAATTTCTATTGTATCTGAGCCACCTAGTGTATAGCATTTTGTGATAGCAGCCCGAATGGAATAAGACACTGTGATATCAGCTGAAATGGAATCCAACAGATGTTCTCACCATCCAGGCAGGAGGGAGGCATCCTCTTACTCGTTACTGTTACTATTGATGTGCTGTGACTTATGGGCGCCTTTTGAAATATGATTGCTAGTGTGACAAACACAGTTCAGTCCATATTTACTAAGCACCTACTATGTCTCAGGCACTGTTCTCGGCACAGAGAATGAAACAAGTTGCTGCCCTCGTTGAACTTACATTCTAGTGGAAAGAACTGACAGTGAACAAGGGAAGTATCTTCAGCAAAGTGAATTACTAATTAGATGGTGGTAAGTGCTGGAGAGGAGAATAAAGTGGAGGTGGGAGTAAAGGATGCCCAGGAGTAGTAGGGCGGCCAGAGACAACCTCGCTAAGGAGGGCACATTTGAACCAAGACTGAGGCAGGGGAGGGAGGGAATCCTCGTAATTCCTACTCTCTTTTCTAATTTGCCCAGACCCAGGCCTACGTAGCAAAAGTTACTAAATGGTCCCCAATCCTTTCCAGGGCCTGTATGCGCCACGTTACACAGTGCAACCTCTCAGGACCCTCACTGAACATGTGGGTCCGAGGGTGAAGCAGTGGGACCACACTGCAGAGCAGGGACCAGGGACGCAGTAGAGCTGTTCCCCGGCATCCAGCATGGGGTCGCCGCACCTGCCACAGATACACCTGGGGGATTTTTGTTTTCAGGTCACGACCAAACAGTTCAAAATTCTTCATCAAAACAGTCGCCGGTAGTCAAAG